TTGAGACGGCAGCCCGGGGGGCCTCCGACGAGGTGGGAGACCATGCGCACCAGGCAGGGAGCCGTTTCCGTCCTCTGGGACCCGCGCCGCGCTGTGAAGCCGGTCCCCGGCCTCCCCACCAGGGTGTGCACCGGCCTCCCTGCGGACTGTTTCTGAACGAGGTACGGACGGACGCCTCCCTTACGCCCCTCGATTTACCAGGGAGCCTCCTCCCTTCCGGCAGACGCCTCTTTGGAAAGTAAAACCGAATGCAGGAAGGTCTGCCCGTGAACCCCTGCGTTAGGAGTAGTGGGCGGGCTCGTCCCAGACGCGGACGACACCCATCACCTGCGTGCAGACATTATCCTGCAGCTGCTCTTCCGTCCGTTTATTAATGGCCCCCCCTTTTCACAGTGGCATGCACACTGTGCGTGGGCCTTGGGGGGAGCGGGGAGCTCCCCTGTGATGCAGAGTGGCAGCCGACCGGCGTGCACAGGAAGCATCACGGTGTCACCCCGCAGCCCTGCCCCTCAGCCGGCCCGCTGGCAGGCCTGCGGTCGTCATCCTTGGCTCGGGCCTGCCATCTGGGTCAGGGCCTCCTAGTTCAGGCACCAACACTGCTGTCTCTCCCTGGTCTGCTCTGTGTCCTCTGGGACTCCGGAATGTTCCGGTAACAACAGCATGAACACTGTCACGCCTTGCAGCAGTGGGGTCTCAGCGGGCCCCAGCCAGTGTCACAGGCCCATCACTTGTGTCGCCGGTTCCTTGGCTGGCCCATGAGGGCCCTAATCGTGGGGGAGGGTCTCCATGGGGGTGTCAGTGAACCTCGGGGAGGGTTGCCGACACCCCTGTCATGCCCCCTCCTGCCCGGCCTCCAGGTCGGACTGCAGACCCCGAGCTGGCACGCCCGCCACGAGCCCAGTGCGGCAGGGCCCCTGGGGGTGCTCCTGTGGACTCCGACCCCCGGACCCGGCTGGAGTGGAGAGTTCAGTGGCTCTGTTCATCCAGCCTCTGTGTTTGGAAAAAATCCTCATTATTGGCACGCGGTGGAATTTACTTTTTGTCTTTAGTTCTGCCACGAGAAGAGAGATAGCAGAGCTTCAGCAAGAAGGTGTCGGAAATGCAGGACAAATCCGCGAGGCAGACCCAGAGACTCTGCCGGAGGCCGGTCAGGGCAGACCCAGCCGTGCGCCCTCCAGTGACTTTTAGCGAGGTCTCCAGGCGGCCTTCTCCCACTTTACCTCTGCGGCAGCTGTAGACTGCGGCCGCCACGTGCTCCTCCCCAGCCAGTGAGGTCAGGTGTTCTCCCGGCTCCACGCCGCAGCCCTGGAGGGCGGGTCTTCTCAGCAGGGTCCGCCTGGAACTCGTCCGGAGTGAAGGGGACCCACCTGAAGTGCCGTGTGGCCAGGGCTCTGGGCCCTCCTCACACGGAACGTGTACATGGGGGCCCAGGGGATTCTGTGCAGGCCGGACCCCCCAGCCTGGCCGATTCCCGAGGAACTCAGAAGAATACGGGTGTTTGGGACTTCCGGGGCCCCCCTTCATGTCACCAGCTAATATCCCCAAACCGGGAGGCTCAGCCCTGTGCCCCTGGGGGAGAGATTGGAGGAGCCCCGGGTCAAACGGGAGGCGCTGGGGCTCACGGCACACTCGCTGCCGGCGCCACCCAGACCAGAGGGTGCGCTTAGGGCCTTGGCCAGTTTCCTTCCATCCTGTGAGACTTCAGCCAAGTTCATGACATTTTCATGTCTTTGGGGAGTAGAATTCTCTCAGAAATGAGAGACTTGGCGGTTCTTCGATGCCAGTAAAGTCTTGCGGCTCCCAAGTCTCCTGCCACGTTAGCTGAGTTTTATCTACAGCACTGAGCACGTGGGACAGAGCAGGCCCCCAGCTCCCTGTCCTGCCAGGCCCAGGTCGGTGCCTCTGTGCCCAGGGCCACCTGTGTAAATGCGGCACAGCTGCCGGTCCCCTGCGTCCCAGGTGTGTGGCAGCCCCCTCTGTTCTCTTTCACATCAGTGTCCTGAAATGCCTCTGACAGGGAGGAAGGGTTTCTCGTGACGACCGACTGTGCTGGGCAGCCGAGTGCCCTCCATTAGCACGTCCAGGTCAGGAGTGGCCGGCCTCACTGGAGAGCGAATCTGACCCGGCTCTGCGCCCGAACACTCTTCCTGCCAGCCCAGGAAGGGACAGGTCTGGGCCGCCTCTCACAGGTCGCAGCTCCAGGGGCGCCTCACACGGGCTCTCTGACACACGGACATTCCGGAAGCTTCCCCTGCAGGCACCGTACCGCGGCCCTTTTTTCTTATGAAGCCCCTGAGGTGTTGGCAGTTGCGTGTTTCTCCAAGAGGCCCCTGAACCAAACCACACATGACCTCAAGGTCACTGTGCTGGGGCATGAGGGCATCGCTGTCGTCACAAGTCAGAAGGCTCAGCAGAGCCGGGTCCCCTCTCCTGCCACTAACGAGGGAGAGGCAGAGGGCCTTCGTGACGATGTGCACCCCAGGAACAGGCAGCCGGACTCGGACGCCCCCCCCCACGCAGTCCCACTGGACGGGAGCGCCGTGTGACTCTGGCTGCGGCGCCAGCTCTGGGGCTGCGTGCACGGCAGTGCCCCGTTCCTTGTCCCTCAGTGGCTGGTGCCTCCCTGTACGCAGCCCAGTCGGTGTTGGCACGTCCGCAGCAGGTGAGCTGCGTGGACCTGGGACGTAAATGAGGGTGGGCCCTGGAGCCATGACAGTGGGGGTTCCAGTCCATCAGATGGGGGGTCCGGGGGCCTGGAGGGTGTCCTCCTCCCTGAAAGGGGCCGTCAGCGGCCCCCAGTGGCGGTCACACCGCGACACTCTCAAGGTTGGAGGAGAGGGCAGGGCAGAGAATCATTTCCATTAGATTGTAGAAATGGAAATTTGTGTCATGGCTTTAGAAATCTGCTTTTATGTGTGTGTTTAATGCCATTCATTTCAAATGTGGTATCATAAATCCTGGCTTTGGAATCAAAGCGCTTTAATTGCATTCACCCGTGAACAGTCGCCCAGCGCCAACAGAGAAAGAGTTAAAAAGGAGAGCCGTGGAGGAGATCAGAGGTTGGGATCTTTAGCACGAGCATAAAAAATCAATTTAAGATGAATTTTACTACTATAAAAACTCTTCAAACACCCTCGTAAGGGTGGGAAATGCTGGGAAGCACAGCTCACGTTTCACGTCCCGAGTGATGGAGGCTGAGGCCCCAGCGTGGGCAGTGGCCTGGGGTGCCCGAGGGTCCGCCCTGTGTCGCTGGGGATGTGAGTGAGGAGGGACGTAACTCCAAGCAGAGGAGGAGGCCAGGTGGCACAGAAGACCCCGCCTCTCGGATGAAGATGCCCGTCTCTCCTCGTGACCACCCCTCCCCTAGGGACCCCCGACGGTGTGTGTGTGACGGGACCTTAGCCCCCACCAGCCCTGAAGACCAACCGAGGCCTGTGGGACACTTCCTCTGGGGTATCCAGCCCCGCGCCCCAGCCCTGCTGGGTTCTGCAGGGGTCCGGAGGGGCCCTGGCCCTCTCTGGCCGTGTCAGGAAGTCCCCCGCGGGTTGAAGGCAGTGACACTGGTGCCTTAACTCTGTTCTCCCGCCTGTGCCGGGCTGCTCGGGCGGGTGGGGGCAGGGAGTCCACGGGGAGGAGAGGCAGCCTGCGGGTGCAGCTCACCCACCACCCTCAGGACGCTGCGAGGGGGGTGTGAGGCTTCTGGGAGACAGCCCCTTGTACCTGTGTTTTGGTGGAGTTTCCACGTCCCCTGAAAAGCCTCGGGAGCTGTGCTACACGGAAGGAGATGGGAGGAAGTCCGCCCCCAGGTCTGGGAAGCCCGAGGAGCGTGCCAGGCGTCCGGGGCCCGGCAAGGTGGGAGGGGGGGCATCGGGAGGGGTCAGACTTGTTTCCTCGGGCAGCGCAGCTGCGCATCCAGAAGGTCAGCCCTGCCGAGGGGCCGGGTCCACGAGGGGCAGCTGCAGGGTCCAGCGACGGAAGAATCACTACCCAGTTAGATGAGATAGAGCCATCTGAAGAGAGGCTAAAACACGCTGGTTTAAAATAAATAAAAATAAGCTTTAGGAGGTAAAGGGGAGACCAGTGTCCGTAATAAACAGTAAGACCTAAAGAACGAGCGAATGTCCCGCAGTACTGCTCTGAGGTCCCAAACCCAGGAAGGACCACACCCGGACTAGACACCTTCGAGTGTGGGAGCAAGGGGACCAAGAGCGGCCTCCCAGGAAGTCCCCAGGGCGCAGGAAGCACGTGGGGGCCGCTCTGTGGGTGCAGGAGGGGGGCAGCGCTGCAGTCACTTCAGGGTTTCTGGGAACAGGCTCTGGTAACGAGCGCTCGGCGATTTGACAGGCGACACAGGTGTGCACCTGTGCGCCCTGTGAAGGGGCGGGCGCACTGCCCTGCGAATCGCGTCTGCGTGGTCGTCATCGCTCTGTGGCAGCCGGTTTCTGGCCGGAGACAGACACGCAGAGCCCCAAGTGGAAGCGCCGTGCCCCAGGACGCGCCCCCTGGGGATCGCCCCTTGTTTTCCAGGCCGCCATGTTTCTTCCGTAAAACAAACACACACACACACACCCCACCCACCTCTGTCTCACCCCCAGGGGTATATTTGATTTTAGACAGAGAGGACGTGAGAGGAAAACACTGATTGTTTGCACCCAGTGCACAACTGGGGATGAACCCACCGCCTAGGTGTGCGCTCGGACCAGGGATCAAACCTGTGACCTTTGGGCGGAGGGACGATGGTCCAACCAGCCGAGCCGCCCAGCCAGGGGAGCATGTTGTGTCTTTTAAAGCTGAAGGTGGACACACAGGGGAAGTGGCTCCCGGGCGTCTCAGCCTTCGTCCTCCCCCAGTCGTCCTCCGGGCCATCGTCTGCAGTTGGCGCAGCTCGCTGAGACTCGCCTGCTCGGGGAAGGGCTGCAGGCGCCGCCATTTTCGGGTTGCCTTGCAGATGTGCGGACCGGGCCTCGAGGTTCACTAACCTTCCATTGTCACTTCCACAGCCCCACGGAGGCCCCTGCCGCTCCTGATTCGCCCGGCAGCCCTGCAGAGACAGCGGGTCCCCTGGCGCAGGGCGCGGCCTGGCTGCGTGCCTACTTCCAGCATCCTGCCGCCCTCCCGGAGCTCCCCGTGCCTGCCCTGCACCACCCCATCTTCCTGCAAGGTCAGTGACCCCCGCTCTGTGCTCCCCTCGGGGCACCTGTCTCACATCACCGCTCGCTCTACTGACGGTACCAACTGGGCGTTTTCCCGCCACCCAAACAGAGCCGGCATGTGGCCACACCGCAGGGACGAGAGTGCAGCCTGCACCGTGCCAGACGGCTGTGTTGGTTTGGGCGTGTGGTCGCCCTGGGCTTGGCAGAGGTGGGGAGACGATGCAGGCAGCCCGACGGGGCCTCTCGCCGGGAGAGGTCTGAGTAGGAGCCCAGCTGAGCAGCAGTGGGTTCCTCAGTCAGCATACGGGGAGCCTGCCCTGTCTGCTGGCCAGCAGCTCAGAGTGAGGCTTGTACGTGGGCCACTGGCCGCCTCCTTGAACCTGGTGCTGGCCGTCCCAGTGGTAGCGGCGGCATGTCGTCCCGACGGGCTCTCCACTGAGCTGCCCAGACGTCCCCTGGCCAGGTGCTCTGCTCTTTGGGACAGGTTGGGAACCACTGCCTCCGCAGAGCGACCCTGCGAGAGCCTGAAACTCTCCCAGGCCTTTGTTTTAAGCTTTTGTTTGGATTCCTCCGTACAGCAGCTACAGTCACTCTGGACACTTACCAGACGTTTACTTTGCATAGTGATTTTTATGGTTATTTTAATACAAATGAGCATTTATATACAGAATTTATGTGTGTGTATATACATATGTGAACCCATATCTACATGTACTTAAAGAATGCATACATACGTGTACTTCAAGGAAAAAAACACCCAGAAATCATGGGGAAGGTTAAAGTGAACTTGAACTTAACAATGGAATTTACTGAGTAAGTTTAATGCTATTCTAATTGCTGCTGTGATTTTCAGCAAAAACAAACGGGCAAAGGGAGCAGAGTGTTCAGGGGAGGCAGGCAGAGACCCCGGAAGCCCAGCCGACCGTGAGCTGAGTGACAGGGGAGGAGCCCCACCCCTTTCTGCAGGCGCTGACGGAAACTGAGGCGGCGACAGACGTGTGTCTGTCGGCCCCTGGTGTCGTCCGGAACTGTCCCAGGAGGTCTCCTCCAGCGAGGGCTGCGGAGACTGAACGGGGGCCCCCGGGTGGGGCAGGAGCTGGGCGGCACTCTGCAGGAGTCCACGGCCCACCTGCCCTGCCCCCAGCACCTGCGTCCAGGGCCGGCAAAGAGTATGGGTGACGGTACCCGGTGCACCTTCCGCCCCGGGGACAGGGCTGTGCGTCTGAGGGACTGGGAGATGCCGTTGGGAACCTGGGAGCTGTGTCCTCCTCTCTCCGCTGTCACCTCTCTGTCACCGTTTCCGCTCTGCCTCTGGGCGCAGGAAGAACTGTCTAACTGGCTTCCCTGCCATCGGGTCTGTCAAATGAGGGAGCAGGCATTTAAGGTGTTGAGATGTTCGGAACAGAGAAATTACAAATCCAGGGCAGACGTCCTGTGTCATCTAAGAGGGTGGGGGACAGGGGGCTCATCACATCCTGAGTCCTGCCCTCAGCACTGGGACCGGCCACTCTTGCCCTGCGTCCCCAGCTCTGGGCCCGCACCAGGCCAGGCTGTCCCTGCAGCCACCCAGTCGCCCGTCCCCTGTCAGCCAAGCCCTGCTGGTGGGGACTTGTGAGCAGGTCATGGTCCCCTGTAGCTGGTTGGGGGTGGGGGCATTGAGTGGCACCCGCCAGCTGACAGGTAGTGGCTGTGGCCTGTGCGTGTGCGGCCGGGAATCTGTGCAGCACAGTCACCCCCGGGGAAGGGTCCAGGTGTGGGGACTTTATGGGTTGCGGAGGGAGGGAGGTGGGGCACGGCTGGAATGCGGTGGCCACCGTGGAGTTAACGGCACTGGCCCCAGCTGTGCGCCCCTTTGTGTCCAGCGGTGGGGGGCTCGCTGGCCCTCACTGTGTGTCTGGGAGCCAGTGACCCCGTGGGGGGAGGGCGAGTCCTCCGACCGCCTGCAGGCCTGGAGGCTGTGGGTCCACAGGAAGGAGCAGACCCTCTGTGCAAACTGGGGAACAGGTCCACTTTAAACACGGCCTCCATTTCCATGACGAGTCCTGCTTTCTGTGCACGTCAATTCTGGAGTCTGCGGAGCTGCTTCTGTGGGTCATGCTTTTCTCGAAGTCCTGCCCTGAAGCCCTGGCTGGGGGGGCTCGGGACCTCGGCACCTGCACTGCCCACCCCTCAGGCCCCAGCGTGGCCCATCTGCTGCCCAGAGGCCCCTCTCCTTCCCAGGGTCCCCTGTGGGGTCCTCTGTGAGGCAAGCACCCTGGGAGCCACGGGCTCAGCTTTGAAGGAGCCCCAAACTGCAGGGAAGGGGAGCCACCCAAAGTTGCCCTTGGTGAGGGCAAAACATCAGACGCTGGGAACTTCCTGTGGCTCCACTTGTCTTCTCGGAGAAGTTCCGAAGTTCAGTTAAAGCGAGTTACTCACCTGGGGATTTCTCCCCGGGAGCCCTCCAGCCGCCCTTGCTGACTGGAAGTCTGGAAGTGTCTGCTGCGGCCACCGTTCCTGGGGCCGGGGCAGGCGGGCTTCCCCGGGAGAGCAGCGGCTCCTGGGAGCCAGGGACCGAGCTACTGAGGAACCAAAACCACCGGGGGCTGCCGGGCCCGATGAATTTCCCCGGAGACTGTTTTTTTTAGTAGGAGGGCATTTTCTGTTTTCAAAATTAGCGTTCTCTCTCTCTGCGTTTTGCGGGTTTCGATTTTTGTTTTTTTGCAACCGGGTCTATGAAAAGCGTCCACAGAATCCGTTCTCCCGGCCACTCAGTGATGGAGCGGCTGTCTCATAGCACAAGCGGGCTTTTCGAGGGGGTCAGGCCCTCCCTGGAAACCTCTTTCAAAGGTCAGTTTTGTTTATTTTGGTTTCATTTTTCTCCAAGAAATAGTTATTCAATGAAGTCCTTATTCTTGAAGTAAATCTTTACTTAATGTTTCTTTCATAATGAAAATATTGTTTAAACCTCTTTTCTGTTAACACCGCTGAACTTCTTCACAGCTATTCATAGGAAAAACCTGGCTCCTTTGTGTAACCGCATCGAGTAGCCGCAGGGGTCAGCGGCGAAAGCGCACACGTCAGAGGAGGGCACTTCGCCCAGAGCGGCGCTCCCCAGTGAACTCGGAAAAGCAGGCCTTTGTACCCAGGGTCCGTTTTCAGGCACAGAACGTGTGCAGTCACTTCCCTTTTGTTCCCAGCCCACCGGCCCCTCCAATCCGGCCTGGCTGTGCGGGCCATGGTAGCTGGGCAGGTGGCCGGCTGGCCACTAACCCTGGGCCTTTCTGCTTTTGCTGGGGCGGGGGGCGGAGGGCCTGCACCCCTCAGCCGGTCCTCCCGTCTCACACAGGACGGTTTTCTCGGATTAGTTCTGAGTTTTCTTTGCTGGGTGAAGCCAATACTCCACCTTCAATGATGCATTTAGCCCTTTACCGATTCCCGCATCACAGCCGCAGCTGGTGGCTGTGGGACCGGCCATGTGAGGGTGGCCCATCTGCACTTTCTGACCTGCCAGCTACACGTCAGTTTTGTGCACCTTCCAGCGCCGAGCCTCAGCGAGGGCCTCCGTGTCTCTGTGACCCCCTCGCCAACAGGCCTCTCCCAAGAACCCATGCACCAGGGACGTCCAGGAGGGGCCCCGCCAGGGACTCAGCCGATGTGTCCACTCTGCACTGTGTCCCGGGGTCAGGGACGCAGCCAGGAAGGGAGACACCATGACCTCAGCCCTCATCGGGCCGGCCCTTTAAAGTTAGAAATGCAGCCTGGGGAGCCGAGCAGGATCGTCCGGCCCCGCCCACCCCTAGCCCACCCCGGCCAGCTCCTCTGTCCCCAGCTGTCACTCACGTCCCGGAAACAGCCAGGCTGTGCCAGACTCGCATGGGTCTCCCAGCACAGAGCCCCTTCGGTCCACGTCGGAGCCCTTCACACGGCTCCAGAAGCCACTTGTCCCGCCAGAACTCGTCTCCAGGGCGTGTCTGCGGCCTCCCCGTGTGCTTTCAGGCAGTGCGTGATGGTGTTTTTCCCGAGCTTAAAAAATCACCGATTTAAAGAGCAGCGAGTAGTTACGACGGGAGATGGGTTGGCAGCTCCCTGGTCCCATGTGTTCTGTGCAGACATAAGGACTGTCCACCTGGCCGAGGTCTTACCTGCTGGCAGGGGTGGCGCCCCTGTGTCCAGTGAGTGACCAAAGCAAGCTTAAATTCGGTGGGAACGAAGCAGCTGCTGAAATGCTTCCTTGGCCCCGGAGCTGCCCACCACCACGAGGGCCAGGCTCCAGGGCCTGCCGAGGCTGGAGCTGGGCGAGGCGGTCCCGGAGAGACCCCGGGGAGAGCCGAGCGCGGTGCCAGGCCAGGAAGTCCCAGGAGCCCGTAGGCAGTCGGGCATCTGGAATCAAGGCAGGAGCCACTGGTGCCTGGGTCACGGACAGTAGAACTCTGCGGGGGACGGCGGGCAGGACATCCTGTCTGAGAGCAAACGGAGGGCGGAAGTTGCTGGAAGCAAATGGTGTACGGGGTGCAGAGTCAGCCTGGTAGGTGACCGAGGCAGCGGCAAGCGGGCAGTCTCCTTCATCGGGGACGTTTCAGGGCTGAGGCCCTCCTAGGGACCCCTCCCCTGTGGGACCGGAAGACCAGCCCCTGGCCATCAGCCTGTCCAGAGGACACATCCACCCGGAGGGGACACAGCTTCCTGCAGCCCATCAGCCTTGACGCTTGTCCCTGTCCCAGCAGAGAGGCACTCCTGCCATCGTCCCTCTCTAGGCTGCCCGGTCCCTGTCACACTTGACTCTCTCTGTTCCCTCCAGCCCCTCAGTGGATCGGAGCACTTGGTTGCAGAGTCGTATGTCCTGGCTTGGGCTGCCTGCCCAGAGGGGACACCATGTCTGCAGGACCACTGCTGGGTCTTGGTGGCACTGTGGCTGCGGTCCCGTTGGCTCTGGCCTTGTCAACTCGAGGCTGGCCAGGCTGGGTCACAAACAGTCGGTGCCCGGACCTGCTCGCTCTCTGGCTTGACCGGTAGCTGTGCACCAGTG